TATCCATATATATATATATTCTGTTGTCATAAAGATATTAATAATCGAGCAGGCACTTTTTTGCTGTTTTCTACAAAACAAGGAAAACAAAAAGCAAGCAAAAATGGCGTTTTGCAACACTTTTTTGCTACTGCATACTTTTGTGCGCGCGCTTAATTACTCTACATAAGTGCGCTGCACATATTCCCCACACACACACACACACACATACACACAGAAAGTCACCACATCTCAATTCATGCATTGCGCGTAACGTAACGTAACGTGACGGAACGTAGCGTCAACCAATTAGTTTGTAATTGATAACATTCATACACTCACACACACACACATAAATATATAAATACGTTTAACTATATATTATGTATTTTTGTTTTTAGTCTCTTAAGCGATTTTTAAAATATTTATATATATTACTACATACAATAATATATACATTTGGCAATGTGAAATTTAAATATGAAATGTTTGTAAAATGCTTTATATATTTGGATATTATTAAATGTTTACCAACGGACAACTAATTTTAAAGAGACTTTTATTTGAATGAATATTATAAAATGGGCGCTAGGAATACCCTAGAGAATTATATATAGTTTTTGATTTTCAGCAAAATTTTGATGACGACTTTTATTATTAAAAAGCCCAAGATGAAATTCTGTTTTTATCCCCCTTATATAAACTTTTGGAGAAGCGCTTCTCATACATTTCATAACGCTCGGACAACTTGACTTGAAAGGTCTTAGGGAGAGGTGGAAACACATATGTTTGAAACTCACCTCACGCAGCAATCCGAAGAGCACGTCCGTTGAGAGCGAACGCTCGTGCGCCTCGTCCATAATGATGGCCGAATAGCTGTCCAGGTCCGGATCGCGCAGGCTCTCGCGCAACAAGATGCCATCGGTCATGTACTTGATAACGGTGCGCTCGGACGTGCAGTCCTCAAAGCGTATAGCATAGCCGACATCCTCGCCTGCGAAAGGGATTCAGTTGTAAAGCGATGCGGATTGAGTGGGCTGGCATGCAACTTACCCAGTTGGGTGCCCATCTCGTCGGAGACGCGTTTGGCCACCGACATGGCGGCAACACGACGCGGCTGGGTGCAGCCGATCATGCCGCGTTTGCTGTAGCCATCCTCGTGCAGATACTGGGTGAGCTGTGTGGTCTTGCCGCTGCCTGTTTCACCCACAATGATGACCACCGAGTTCTCGCGTATGACATTGAGCAGCTCCTGGCGTGAGGCGAAGACGGGCAGGAAGCGACGCTGTTCGCCGATTGTCTTCTTGCGCGAGAAGTCGCTTTTGCCCTTGTTGTCCTGCATGTCGCGCATGTGATCGGCGAACTTCTGATCCTTGCGATAATCGGCCGTGTCGTTGTCCCTATCGAATTTGGCATCGTCCTCGTCCTGCGGCCGCTGCACGCCCATAATGTTGCCCAGCTTGGTGCCGCCCAGCTCCCAGTGTTTCTTCTGCGCCTTGCGGCGCTCCTTTTGCTCCCGATAGTTGCGCACCAGAAGGCTGCCCTTGCGCGCCAGCAGGGCCATGTCCGAGGTGGGATCCTTGACGGGCACCACCGGCTCCGGCTGCTTGGTGAACACGATGCGGCCGTCCAGAAACGGTGGCACTATATGATGAACCAGCAAATGGACTCGCTCCAGCGCCTCCTCGTCGAAGTCATCGCTCACATTGATGGAGGTGACAACGCCGGAGGTCAACATGCGATTACGCTCCCACAGCTCGTTGTCGCGATTGTTCTGCCGCTGCTGGGCGCTGATGCGCTTCTTGCGCTTCTGCTCCAGCTGCTCTTCGCGACGGCGAAAGTAATCGGCATTGCTGCCGCCGAACGGATTGTTCTCGTCGTCGTAGCCCTCGTCTATGTTATACCATTCACGGTCCAGGCGTCGCTGTTCCTCTTCCCACATATCACGCAGCTCAGCATCTTCGGCCCAGGGTGTTGCGCCGCTTCGCTTGCGATCGTGCGCCCACTGATTGTAACGATGTGCGGGCGTGGCACGAGTCGTGTCATCGGCATACCGGCTGCGACTGCTGCCTCGCTCGGACCAATCGCCGAAACTGGAGCTACTGCCGTATCCGGAGCCAGCGCCGCGTGGTGTGGGGAAGTCCCAGTCGGATTTGCGTCCACCGCTGGTCTCGCCATCGTCGTCATCCCAGGAGCTGCCGGAGACACCACCACCTGGCGTACCCGGCTCTCTGGGTGTGTTCACGCTGCGCACCGACGCCGAGCGATCTCGGTTGCGATCTCGATCTCGATCCCGGTCCCTATCTCTTCGTCTACCATCTTTGTATAGCTCCTGGTCCTGTTCTCGTGCTCGCTTGCGCCTCTCATCGCCGCGACGCTGTCTGTCCCGCTCACGCTCTCTATCTCTGTCTCTGTCTCTCACTCTGTCGCGATCCCGTTTGCCATCTGAGTCATCACGCGTCGATTTACGAACGGCGCCTTTATGGCGATCCCGATCTCTCTGGATGTGCTCACGCAGCCGCTCTCTAGCCTTCTCAGAGACGCCGCCCGTGTATGATGGCGTCTCGTCTTTGTGTTCACGTAGCTGCCGGCTGAGCTTCTCGAAGCTCTTTGTGTCGGGTTTCTTGAAGGCAAATTCGCTGACAGGCGTAGAGGCGTTGGCTGAGCTAGAAGGTGTGCCGCCGTCATCGTACTCATTGTCCTGAAAGGAGATCAGGCGTGCTTTTTCAGCACGTCGCTTGGCCGCTAGCTTGTCTAGGCCCAGAACCGAACCTTTCGGTACCTTAAAGCTAGGGCTCTTATTGTCGCTGTCTTTGGGCTTTTTCAGCACCAGGCCGCCACGCTGCTCCTGGCCTGAAGTGCCCTCCAAGCGGTGCACGCCTGCATCATCCTCGGACATGCTATTATTTCGCGTTTATTAAGTTATCTTTTGTTTCCACAAAACGTACCGTGCGCGTTTCAGAATACTATCGATATAATTATGAAAATACCGATAGGTGGCAATACGCGACAGCTATTCGCAAACAATTTGTATATGAACTTTATTTATATTGATATTTTTATAATAAATTTCTTATTGCTGTTAGGCTCTTCGACTTTCATGCCGCAATCAGTACAAATTTAACAATTTTGAATAATTCGAGTTACAAGCAGCGAAAACATCTCATCTCTATTTCACGGCACAGCTGAGTGCTGTAAATGTGTAACAGACTCTCTGGCAACTCCCGCCAATGGCGGCGAAAATAAAACAACAGTTAGTTTTAACGTAATGAACTTAATCGTTTATTAATTTTCGTTCTCTTTTTCTTTCTTCTTTCATTGTCCATCGGGTACAGTTTGGCTTATCCAATTCAGATATGGTGGATTTCCTGCCTGTATGGGCAGCGATATTACCTCCGCCACGCTATATGGATGATTCTCGCGCACAAACTTGCTCAGCTCATCAATGCGGGTGGTGCGTGTCTTGATCATCATAAGATACTCATTATCCTCGTTCACCTTACCTTCCCACATATAGATGGACTCAATTTGCGGTATTATATTCACACAGGCTGCAAGTTTCCGTTGGATGATGCCGTGCGCCAGTTTCTTTGCAGACTCCTTGTCGGGTGTTGTCACAAAGGCAACGGAACTGCTGCCTGCTACATAAACAGGATCTGAATCCATATTGCTTAGTTTATTATTATTTATTTGGTTTTGGTTGCCAATGGAGGAGCTATTGCCGGATGTACTGCAAGCGTTTGTTGCAAAGGCCGTGCGGCTTGTGACGGCGGCCGTAGCAGCAACAAGTATTAAATTGCGAGTGAGTAGCCAACGATAGGGCACCGACCTTGCCTTTCCCAGATATTGCATTAAATGCACTTTGCTCGGCCAATGAAACGCTGTGAAATAAAAACAAAACAACAGTCGCCGCGATACTTAACAAAAAGCATCGAAATATCGGAAAGTTTCTTTTCTCGTTAGCTATCGATATAGGTGAGCTTACACAGGCGATACTTCCCGTTTTAATTTTTTTTTTTTTTATTTGCCAGAATATCAACTTTCGCTTAAAAAAAAAAAAAAAAAAAAGCGGATCATTTACTTTTTTATTATTTTTATTTTATTTTTTACATAGAAATTGACTTAAATATCTACTTTCGCACGTATTTATAAATGTTTAATTTTAAATTGTAATATGACGCGAAATAAAATAATTATTTAATAAATCTGGTAGAAATGCAATAAAAAAAAAAATTGAATATACTTTTTTAACTTAAGACTAAATGTTTTTTTTTTTTTTTTGCTTCACTATTATGGTGCGCTGTACATTGATGGGGAGTCTAATTTACAACACACACATGCGAGTGATTGGATTGGAGCGAGTATGCGTAGATGGTTGAAATGTGCCTCTAGTGATTTGGCTGATGCTTGTCCCTAGTCCGCTTCGTGCTTGTCCGAGTCGGGCTTCGATGCCGCATCATTTGCTGACGTCGGCGCCGGCGGCGGTGGCGGCTGTGAGGCAGGCGTTCCACTCAGGGGTGGTGGTGCAGCTGCTGCTGCTCCGGCTGGCCCTGGAGCGGCTGCTGTTGGGGGCGGCGCTGCTGCTGCTGCTGCAGTTGGCGGAGGTTGGGTCGCCTGTAGCTGTGGGGGTTGGGGTAGCGCATGCGGTTGTTGTGGTGGCGGCGGCTGTTGTTGTGCTGCATAAACCGCGCCCGGACCTGGCGCCGATTCGTGCATGTGTCCCGGCGGCGGTTGCTGTGGTGGTGGTTGTTGTTGTGGCTGCGGCTGCTGCTGTTGTTGCTGTGGTGGCGGTGGAGGCTGCTGCTGCTGCTGCTGTTGTTGTTGCTGTGCCGCACCAGGTGGTCCACTGACGCCGCCATGCTCCCGAGCGCTGGTAAAGTGCAGCGGCGAATAGGGCTGATAGGGCGGTAGGTGCGTGTAGTAGGGCTGCGGTCTCGAGTGCGGTCCATACTGCGGCTGGTAGTAGTGCGTGTGCGAGTGCTGGCCGGGACCGGGTCCACCATAGTTGGCATAGCCCATGTGGGGCAACGGCGGTGGCAGACCAGGCATGCCGCCAGGTGGTGGCTGCTGAGGCGGCTGCTGCTGCTGTTGCTGCTGGGGCGCCATGTGTGGAGGCGGTGGGCCACCTACATGCGCATGTGGATGCATTTGCGGAGCTGCTGCAGCTGTCGGTGGTTGTTGTTGCTGCTGCTGCTGCTGTTGCTGCTGCGGCTGCGGCTGCGGAGGCGGCGGCGTTGGCGTCGTCGCTGGCGGCTCATTGTTTAGCGGGGGCGGCGGTGGTGTTGCCGCAGGCGTGGCTGTGGGCGTGGTCGCTTTGCCCGGCATGGCCAGCACCGTGGGTGGCGCCGGTTTCATCGGGTCTTTGATGGATTCATTCAGCGGCACCGGCGGCAAATCCAGTTTGTCGTGCTTCGAGGGCGGCGGCGGCGGTGGCACTGAAGGCTTTGGCGACGGCTCAATGTCCATGGGCTCCGGATCCGTTTTGCTGGCCAACTCATGCACAGGCGCCGGTTGCGGCTGTGGCTGCGGCGGCGGTGCTGGCGCCACCACAACGGGCGGTTTCACCGGCTCCGGTTTGGGTGCAACACTCGCCTCGGGTGCCGCCGGCTGCGACTGTGGCGCCTGCTGCTGTTGCGCTGCATCCTCCTTGCGATTGGGCCCCTCCTCGATGCGCTGGCCCCGCTTGAAGTCCTCGTACATGCGATGCACCATTTTCTGAAATGTGTCCTCGTCCACGGCGGGCTTGCAGTGGCGCTTGAGCTCCTCTTGGAAGGCATCGCTCGACTCGAGCATTCGTTGCTTTTTCGCCTCGAACTTTTCCTCCATCTGCTGCAGCTCAGCCTCTAGCTTGGTTTGGTGCATGGTCAAGGAACTGACCTGACGCTTAAGCACCTGCATCCGTTGGGTGGTCACCACGGAGCGTACGTCGGGCACCACGGCCTCCGAGAAGATCTCGTTGATTAGCCGATGGTTGCGCAAATAGCGCGCATAGGCCATATGCTTGGCCGTGTATCCTTCATCCAGATCGTCCTCATCCTCTGCCGGCTGTATGTCGATGCGGCGCTCGTGTTGGCTTTTACTGCCGCCGCCACGCGACGGCGTCTCATGGACATCGGTTATCTCAGGTTTCACCTTGGACTTGGCCGATATGTAAGCCTGGTAGGCGGGCGTCTGATGATATGCCTTCAATGCCTTCTCATACTCCAGCTTCTCGGCCTCGTACTCGTCGATATATTCGGTGCGCTCTTCCTCGCTCAGCTGCTTCCACATGACGCCAATCTTCTTCCCCAGCTCCCATAGCTTCAGTTCCGGATGCTGTGCCTTTACGCTGTCCCACACACGTTTCGAGTACCTCATATAGGGTAAAATTGGTTTCTCTGGCGGCTTCGGTGGCTTTGGTAACCGGGATTCGGTTTGCGTCTTGCTGCTCGATGATTTGGTCACTTTTTGTGGCGTGAACGCCGGATTTCCATAATTACTATGCGTAAATATGGGCGTCTGATCCTTATTCCTATCACCAGCAGCACCACCGCCAGAGGAACGAGACCGGCTACTGCCACTGCCGCCACCACCACCACCGCCGCCACCGGCCCCGCCGCTTGGTATCGGAGTTGCCGGCCCTGATGGTGCCCCAACAGCGATTTGTTTGTAGTTGCTGGGCAGCGCCATGTTTAGTAACATATATATAGTTATATTTTGTAACTTTTTTGAGCGTGAATTGTGTTTTGCATAGATTTCCAAAGCAAAAACAACAACAAAATCGAGTTTAATTCACGCGGACGCCATTGATGGGTTTTTCTCTATACTGAAAATTGGAGATAGCATGCAACGCGTCATAACAATCGCTAGCCGATAGTTTTCATGCCATATTCGCGTGTTTCACAGCACTGAATTTCGATTCAATTTGATGAAATTATTATGCATATTTTAGTTGTGTGGCAAATATGTAATTATTTTATTAAGTAACTTATTTTTATCGCAACATTCATTAAGAGAAACAACAGTTGTATTAGGATTATTTTTTTAAATAATTCTTGAGGATTATATGCATATATTAAAATGTTATAAACTAATATGGATTAATATCATTATTTATTATTTAGTAAAAGAAATTGTTTATGTTGATAAATATCTGAACTTATATTATCTCTAAATGCTTTATAATGAATGAAAAGTTCGTTCATAAGTTCATAGTATGCACGTTCTCATATGAACTAGTTCATAACGGAATGTACCAGCTGTAGCACCGGTCAATCCAATACGTAATGTTTGCAACAAATTATGTATTTTGGGAAAAGAAATGTTTTGTTTTGTAAAGAAACACTTTGTTGTTGATACTTAGCAAATGTATTAGATATTCTCGTTGATCATAGGATGCCTTGACTCCTCGTCCCCGACCTGGACTAGACTAAAATCTTACTCAATCAGTTTACTTTCAACACTAGACGGGAGCAGAAGTTTACCAAAAATAATATAATTCGTAATATATATTTTTATTGTAAATAAAACGCATAGCTTTTGGGTTTTATAGAATGGAGAGAATACGTTTATTTATACGTGTCGGGCAGGCAATCAGGAGGACTCACCGCTCCAATCATATCTCGGCACTTGTTCGTCGCAACTTCACGCCCTCGTCGGTGGACAGCGACAGCAGCAGGGGCCATGGGATTGGTAATGGCAGAGCATGTCGGCACTGCAGCAACCAGCTCGTGGCGGACTACGTTGTGGATGACGTGCTATATGACCGTGTCTGTACGGAGACATTGAATTCACTGTCCGACTACTTCGACGAACTCATTGAGAATGCAACAGAACTGAGCGGCGCCGATGTGATCTTTGGGGTAAGCGCGAGGGATTGGACTCCATATTAACTATACCTACCTTCATTAATATTTCACGTTTGCAGGATGGTGTGCTGAGTGTTAATCTGGGCACTGATTATGGTGTCTATGTGATCAATCGGCAGCGACCCAACAAACAAATCTGGTTAAGCTCGCCCACAACCGGACCCAAACGCTTCGATTATGTTGTTCCACCGGGCCAAACTAACGGCTATTGGGTCTACAAGCATACGGGCGTAACACTGCATCAGGTGCTCCAAGATGAAATCACACAAATCATCAAATCGCTGTCCATCAACTTCATGACTCTGCCCCATTGCAACTGAGGCGCAAACATGTTGCAAGTGTTGCAAATTGAAAATGTTAAATTAAATTCACTGAATAATACAAATTTTAGGTTTTAGCAAAAATGCAAAACATAAAAAAAAACTTAATTAAATATTAAAATCAATTATTATGTTTTGTCACTTGTTAAGGAGCACGCGACTTGCAGATACCCTGTACTTGATTTAGCAACTTAATTTCTCTAGTTCAACTATTATTTAGATATTTACAGATATATATGTAGTCCATTTGTTCACATCGTGCGCAGATTATGTGAAATGATTTTATTTAAACATTAAGAATAAAATATATCGGCTGATACGTTTGAGGAATAATTTAAATATATAAATATGTAAGACACAGTTAGCTTAACATAACTCGTGGACAAAATAATGATATAGGTATACCATATATAGTATATATACAGTAAATTTGTAAGACTATTAAAGAATACGGCTTGACTTCGTTAACTTAAGAATTCCAATTGGCCGCAACAGGGAGCAATGGCATGGTTATGGTATATGTAGTAGTAGATCACTCCAAGTACGATCTATTTTCACTACGAAAATCGATTCGAGTACACTATCCATATATGATTATCTGCCTAGTATCGATTAGAGGACCAAATTAAATTGCCTTAGCTCCACAGCCATCTCCATGTGAGATCTGCTCCAAAGGCTAGCTCAACGGACGCGCCACGATCTGCATCATCCGGAGCTAATGGAAGACTAGTTTCTAGACCTAATTTGATTATTGCACTTAAGACTAGTTAAATAAATATATACAACAATAGTTAAACAATTATTCTAGGCCCAATTGCATTCAATTTCAGTTTTAATTCAAATTATGTACAAATGTAAAAAAAAAGTTGCTTTATTTGCGGGTGATGCTTTGACTTGGATTGTGACTAAAATATATACAGTATCTGCATACATATATACACGATATTTGTTCAAATATATATATATGCATATGTATATATATAGATATATATATGATCGGTATCGTTCCGAAACAGTCTATAAGCTAAGGGCGATAAAAAGCTTAATTCCTATCAAGGTTTCGTTTATTATTTATACAACAATTGGCAGAACTCGTTGCGGCGCACTCAATGATGACGGCCAAAAATGTTATTATAGTGCGGCGGCTGCTGCTGTGGCGGCTGTGGCAAGAAGTTCGGTGGCATGTTGTTAAACGGCTGCGGCGGTCCATTGGCTCCCCAGGGATTCATTGGGCCACCATAGCCACCGTTGGGCGGACCGTATGCATTGTAGTTGCCCATGTTATAAGGTTGCTGCTGCTGTTGTTGTTGTTGTTGTGGCAGCTGCTGCTGTTGGTGTGGCATGTTTGGATAGCTGGGACCGCCAGACAGCTGATCGTTGCCAAAGTTATAATAGCCATCATTGCCAGTAGCTACTATTGCCGAGCTGCTACCAACTTCTCCATTCATGTTGCCAAATTGTGTGGGCTGCAGCGGTGGTTGTTGTTGTTGTTGTTGTGGTGGTTGTTGTTGTTGGTGCGGCTGTTGGCGCTGCTGTGAGATCCCACGCATCTGCTGCTGCTGTTGATGGTGTTGCTGCTGCTGCTGCTGCTGCTGTGACTTGGCAGCGCTGTTTGCCTGGTTGGTATTGCTGGTCAGTGTGCCCATCAGATTGGCAATGATGTTCTCGGTGTCCTTTAGGGAAATCTTTGATGCCGCCGGCTTGAAGGTCAGCGCATTGGGTGACATTGCTGCCGGCACAATGGGCCGCATGGGCGTGGCCTTCTTCTTGTTGCCATTCGAGCTGTTCGCCTTCATCACCAGATCATCGAAATTGTAATCATCATCGTCATCATCATCCAGTATGAATTTGGGTGAATTGCGCACGTCCATGCGACGCTGTAGTTTCGCCGACGACGGCTGTTCACGCTCCAGGCTCTTGCGACGAACTGCAGCAGCAACGGCAGCATCCACACGATCGTCACCAACACCACCAGCACCACCGCGAGAGCTGCCGACTATGGGCCGACCGTTGGCCACAACACGGGAGAGATAATCGCTGCAGGATTCGCCATCGCTGCTCAGCTCGGCAATGTTCACGTATTTGCGCAAACGCTCAACGCGTGCCGGATCCAATTTCTCCAGCTTGCGCAGATGGCCAATCAGATGCACCTGCTCCTCGTTGGACAGAAACTTGAAGTTCTGCAGCAGAGTCTGCAAATCGGAATCGGTGAGCGATTCCATATTGTTGCTAGCATCGTTGGTGGCTGCCTTGGTGGTCAGATCGTTGCCAGTCTCCTTCGCCAGCTGATGCTCCACCTCCTTCATTAGCTCACCAATATCAATGTCCAGCACGCCGATGCCACTGCCAACGCCACCGCCGCCGCCGCCACCGCTGCTGCTGCCACTGATGTTGCCCTCATGAGCATCATTACCGTAATTGGCGAGTCCCAGGCGGAGCGGCACCTCGCCAAAGCTGAGACCGCTGCTTTTATCGGCCTGGCGACGGCTGTGATCCGTCTTCACCAGCAGCGTGAAGAAGTGCACCAATTTGTTCATATCATCGGTGCTCAAGCTGTCCATGCCATTCATCACCAGTTCGCTGGCCAGTTTCGACGAGACGAGCTGTCTATCGAAGGGCAGCTGGTACTCCTTCTTTTTGGGCAAATCCGTTTGCTTCGGCTCATGGTCATGTACCTCTTGAACACCTGGTTTATAGGTGTGTTTGTGTGCGTGTGTGCGTATTGTGTGGGTGAAAAGGAAGGAGCAACATAAAAAACAACATTAATTCATTTATGATTACATTCAAATATTAGAAAATCTCTGTCGAAAAGTCAAAGAAAAAAAACAAAAAAAAAATTTACTTATATCTTACATCAATTCATACTTGAGAGCGGATGAGAGAATGCGACGCATCCAGCCGATTTTGACAGCGAACACTAAACCAGGACATGTGTCCTTGATTTATTTATTATATTTTTGTAATTAATT